TTTAGTTTAGGTCTCTATGGCATTCCTGGACGGCTATCGGAGGCAGGACTGGCCACCAAAACATGATTGCTGATGAGGGGTTTCGTGATTAAGGGCTCGGCCGCGTGGAGAGGGCTTGGAGAGAAATTTGGGGCTAGGGTTTAGTTTTAAATGGCAAAGAATTAGTATTTATATTAAATATCTTTGGGAAAATTTGTCTTTAGTCCTTCATACTCACGCATTTGTTTGCATCCTGGTCACTAGAGGATTATATTTTTTATTTATTTCGAATTGCAGGATTTGTTTATGTTAATTTCTCATTTTAGGGTAAAGTATAATAGTTGTCACTGAACTTTTTTAAAGCTTTTATTTTGGTCTCTAACTTTTAAAACTTGTAATACAGTCTTCCAACATTTAGTTCGTTTGTAATATGGTCTCCGACGTAATCGGTCGTTAGTACGATTGCAATATGGTCATTAAACATTTCAAGTGCTTGCAGTTAGGTCCTCCAACTTTTAAAACTTGCAACACAATCCTCAATTTCATTTTAAATCCTAAATTTCTTTTTGATCTCGAATTTTCTTTTTTGTCTCTCTTTTCTCATTTCCAGCCTAACTTTTCAGTTAGGGATGCATGAAATATTTTAATTTAACTTTGAATTATGTGGATATGTTGACTTGAATAAGGGTCTATTGAGAGAATACTTGACCAAGGGACTATCAGGTTCATTAATGATTCAAGGTGTAATGTTATATACACATCATCTCAGGTAAAGTATAGATGTTCGATGAAATGTTTGTGAGAAAAAATGAGATTAGAAATTCATAGTTGACAAATACTACTAAGATGAACTAAGTATCATTGTTGAAAGTCACCAACAAAGCTGAAATTGTTTTGTATAAATAGCATATAATAATTTCTTCGTTTAATCCTTGTGGTTAAAGATTTTCAAACAGATGATCAAATATAATGAAATCTCAAGCATCGCATTCACCTCTCAGTCTATTTCACTCACATGCACTCTCGTTTGGTTTTAGTTCTTCAATTTTCCGCTATGTAAAAATGACCACAAGGATTAAGCGAAAGAGACTGAGAGGTGAATGTGTTGTTTGTGATTTCATTATATTTTAACATCTGTTGGAAAATCTTTAACCACAATGATTAAACGAAGAAATTATTATATGTTATTTATACAAAATAATTCCAGCTTTGTTGGTGACTTTCAGCGATAATACTTAGTTCATCTTAGTAGTATTTGTCAACTCTGCATTTTTAACCTCATTTTTTTCTCACAAGCATTTCATCGAACATCTATGTTTCACCTGAGATAACATGTATCTAACATTACACCTTGAATCGTTGATGGTCCGGATAGTCCCTTGGTCGGGTCTTCTCTCAATGGACCCTTATTCAAATCAACACCTCCACATAATTCAAAGTTAGATTAGAATTTCTTATGCATTCCCGACTGAAAAGTAACAGTGAAAATGAGAATAAACAAGCGAAAAAGGAAATTCGAGATTGAAAAGGAATTTGGGATTTAGAATGAAATTGAAGATTGTGCTGTAAGTTTTAAAAGTTGGGGGACCTAAATGAAAGCGGTTGAAAAGTTTAGTGACCATATTGCAAACGTACTAACAGTAGTATAACGGCGTCAAACGACTGGTTACGTCGGGGACCATATTGCAAACAAACTAAATATTGAAGGATCGTATTGTAAGTTTTAAAAGTTGGGGACCTAAATAAAAGCTTTAGAAAAATTAATGACCATTACTATACTTTACCCTTATTTTTATTATTAGTTTGCTACGTTTTAAAAATGAAGAATCACCTTTTTAATCCCCATAGTTTATGCGTATATTTACATTTTAGTCATTATTTTTCATTTTTTTAAATGTTCGATTTTGATGTGCCTTCTTTATTTTTTAATTTATACATTGCTTTATTTTTATTTTTGCATTAAACACTCAAATCGGTCTTGAGGTAACCCATCCCGGGTACAACTCTCATTATTGGTGTCCGAATAAAATTTTAATTTTTACCGCTAATCACTAACTACTAACCCTTAAAAAACTACTCGAATTAATACAACAACCTTACGAAAACCTGTCCTAGGGTATAACTTATATTATTATGATATGGGTAAGATTTCAAATTTTAACTAACCCACTGATCGTATAATATTCTAACTAGGCCTGTAAATAAACTGAACGTTCAACGAACCGTGCGGCGGGAAGTTCGTTTATGTGCGTTTATTTATTAAATGAACGAACATGAACAAGATTTTGTGTTCGTTTAATTAAATGAACGAACATGAACATAGGTCTCGTTCGTTCATTTACTATGTTCATGTTCGTTCATTTACGCTCGTGAACGTTCGTTTATGTTCGTTCAGTTATGTTCTTTCGTTTATGTTCATTCATTTATGTTTAAGCCAATCTTCTTAAATCAATTTTGGTGACCAATTTGTAAGTATCTTAAAAATATTAATTAATCTGATATTCTGATGACCAACTCCATAATTAACCCGATTTTATTTGGAAAACCCAACAATATTAACTGGTTTAGTTCTTTTTGAACGATCCATAAGCTGCATACCCAGCACCGTCAACATCCACTGCGTCGGAACCCTATGTGACTGCGTCACCAGCTGGTTATTCGATGAGCAAAGAGGAGTCCCAGAAACCGGTTGCTTTCGAAACCAAGTCCAAAGGTGATGGATTTCGGAAGGGATGTTAAGTATTAAGCATCATTTCTTCTACTCAAATAATCTTCTTTTCTTTCATATATAATGGAGTATTCGAATTTACAAGTAAATAGTGATCAACCAACAACTCAAGTCAGCTTACTTTGAAATCAAGAACCCAATAATGGTGAGGCCTTATTCATAGCTTGAGAAGTTCTTTAACGCGTTTTAATCGAGCTCTTAATTTTTTTTTGAGTTCGAGCCTTTTCGAGTTCAAGTCGAGTTTCAATATTATATTTCGAGTTCGATTCGAGCTTGATAATTTTAAGCCCACGAGTTTTCGAGTCGAGTCGAGCTGACTTTGAAAGTTTTCGAGTTCGAGTCGAGCTCAACAATACTCGAGCTCGACTCGGCTCGTTTACACCCCTAGGTAGGGTCTCTAACGTTTATGTTTGTTTATGTTCGTGTTCGTTTATGTTCGTGTTCGTTTATTTATTAAATGAACGAACATGAACAAGTTATATTCCTTAATAAACGAACATGAACAAAAAAAATTGTTCGTTTATGTTCGTTTATTTATTAAATGAACGAACATGAACATACCTCCGTTCGTGTGCGTTCGGTTCGTTTACAGGCCTAATTCTAACTTATTTTATGACCTTACGAGTACTCGTCTTGGGATATGACTCGTGTTATTTATAGCTAGGTAAAAAGGAAAAATTGACCAATAACCTTTATTTTATTCGATTTTCTAATTTATGCTTTTATATTTCCACCCTTTAAATTTCTGTTTTTTACATTTATACCCTTTAATTTTAATATTTTAATTTCTTCCTTTAAATTTCTAGCATTTTAATCCTTTAAATTCTAGAACTTAATTTTCTGTATTTGTTTTATTTATTTATGCATTTTTAGTGTCTGTTTTATTTCATTTCATTCCCTTGTATATATGTGTTTGCCTTTAATTTATATTACATTTTTATCCTTGTTTTTTTCCATGCTATTATATTTTTTTGCTCCTCTAGCTTCGGTATTTTACACTTTAGGTCTTCGATTTAGATCCTTATTCATTCTAATTACTTTTTTAGTTTAATATAAGATGTTTAGGGGTCTATTTTTACCTTTAGTCCTTGTATTTATTATTCAAGCATTTTGGTTCCTATATTTTTTATTATAAATATTCATGATTTATATTTTCAAAGATATTTCAACTTTTTTATAATATTAAACATTAAATATATAATATAGTGCCCTATATATATATGTATTTTATAAAAGTTAACATTTTTATTATGTTTCGCTATATATATTTTATATTTTTACACTACAGCAAAACAGAGTTTTAGCGGCGCTTTTTTAGTCTTATAACGGCGTTTTTAAGCGCCGCTAAAAGTATTTGCGACAATAGGAAAAACGCCGCAAGAAGCGCCGGCAATACCAGCGCCGCTAAAGTTAGCGGCGTTTGAGAACAAAAAACGCCGCAATAGGTCAATATCTATTACAACGTTTTTTGAACAAACGCCGCAAAAGGTCGATATCTATAGTGGCGTTTTTGGAATAAACGCCGCAAAAAGTTATGATAAATAGCGGCGTTTCTAGAAAAAACGCCGCAAAATGTCAGATCTATAGCGGCGTTTTTGGATACAAACGCCGCAAAAGATAAGACCTATACTGGCGTTTGTAGAACAAACACCGTAAAATGTCAGACCTATAGTGGCGTTTTTGGACACAAATGCCGCAAAATGTCAGACCTATAGCGGCGTTTTTGGACACAAACGCCACAAAAAGTCAGATATATAGCGGCATTTTTGGATACAAACGCCGCTAATTACCATTCTTTAGCTAAGATTAATTGATATTTTGCATATTTCATTTTTGTTATACATCACCTAAATTCAATATCATGTAATTTTATATAAATTTTAACAACAAAATAAATTAAAATTTATAAACTTTAAAATTAAATGTAATATAGCTTTGATGTTCATTACATCGAAAATATTGAGTTCAAGTCCACATATGGAAAGAAAAATAAATTAGTATGCATATAATATAAGCTACAAATGCCATTTAGCTGGATTCCTGGCCTAAAAGCTATTCCAAATTTTCTTGGAGATTCAACTTCTGCAACTCCTCCCATTTTTCTTTGTCTGCAACCATTTTCCGCACTGTTCCTGTGACAAGAAATGCTGCTTTAAGATTGGCACAACCTTCATAGCAAGCTCTACTTTACAAGAAAGGAAACCATCTACATCAATATCATTTATAAGAATTAGATCAATATTCAAATACAGTATAAGATGAAACAAATAACTTGTCTCCATAATTGTTCATTTTAAACAACATCAACCAGATCACCTTCACCAAAAGTAATATGTGGAAGTTAATAAAATTTTTAAACTAATATAAAAAAGAATATATGGTTGTACCAAGAAGAAACAAAAACGTGGAAGCCAAGGACCTGCTAGTCTAGTACCACAATAGTGTTACTCCAACTCATTATACGACAAAATTACACCCAAAATCTCCATACTACTGCATTCACACTTTTGCAGAGAAAGAATTTAAAACAACCTCCGGGTTAAGATTATTTTCTTATTTTGACATACTGCCTGACCTAGTACCTCTTGGTAAGCCGGCCCTATTGCTAACTGCTAAATGAGCTTGATAGTACTTAGTTGCCAATGGTCTAATCCAGATAAATTGCTCATCAAATGAACAATTAGAATATACAGGAACTAAATTCTAACAAAACCCCAAATGCCACACCCATGTTTTAATAATAGTAACCAGTTTAAACAAGGAAAAAACGCTAATAGGCATTTGGTAAAATTAATATCATAGAGGACGTTGATCAATATCATACCATCGCCAGAAGAGAAAGCCTTGCATGACTTTTGCATGATAGTCTCCGACTGAATGCTAGAGATGACATCCCTGCACATAAGAAAAGCTGTCAGGGGAAAGAAGTGCCAAGGAGCGGTAAACTGATCTAAAGAACAAAAAAAGCACGGGCATTGGAATTTCCTTTCTAATTTCCCTGCCTAATATAGTTTCTGGATAAACAAAAATGAGGTGGACTAATTAACACTGAAATGGACCTTCTGGTAATGATAGATATGCTAATCACCCTACATAAATCATATCACTCCTGCAGTTCACTCATATCCTCACCGTGATAAGAAATGACAAACAAGTGACAGTACAATTCCAAAAATTGATGTGGGTTACAAAAGTTCACTACCAACTAACCTTGTCTTTGTCAAGTCAGCAGAAGAGCCTGAAATAATGAAGAAATAATTTCAATTAATAACAACGACAATCAACAGAATTTTACCAAAATGAGAACAAAACAAAGTCAAAGATTTACCTGGTAGAACAAGATGAGAGAAGTTGCGGACATGGACAATTCCCCTCGGCTGAAGAAACATAATCTGTTCAAACACTTAAATTTAATTCTCGTAAGAATGGTTACCAATGTATGATAAAAATCCAAACATCTTCTACATAAATTAAAGGTTTAATAGCAACAAATAACGACATCAATAAAAATTCAAGAGAAACCGAACCACTAGCATGGTTATCGAATCATATTCAATTTCAACTGAACTATTTACCTCTTTTCCAACATTTGAAGACACTCTAGATGCTGAAACGCTCTGCCGAATCACCTGCAAGGACTTCCCTAATACCTGTAAAAGAAATGGAAAAAACAATTCAATAAAATCCAAGTGCTTTATCCTTTAGCTGAATAAACCACAATTAAAATAAAAAGAGGTTAACAGTTCTAACCGAAGCTGATGAACCTCCGGTCGCAACTTTTCTCCTTAAAGCGCCCAACATCACCGCTGTCCAGAAGCTAAACGCAAAACTCAATAATCTAAAGGAGAAATCAAATAATAATTTATAACATAATAGATAGTCAGATATAACTGCGTGGATCTGAATCTAAACATTGAATACAAATGAAAAGGGCAATAATGAGAGGCGAAGAAAAAATTATATATGGAAGAGAGGTTTAACTTAAACCTGATTTCTGCAGACAAATATGAGAGTCCTCGAATACACTGTGATTTGCTAAAGAAAAAAGAAAATATCTAACAAGTTTTTTTTTTGGTTTCTTTCTTCGACAGTGAGGGAGAGAAACAGTGAATATCATGCCAAATACCTCGCGATTAACAACAAAAATGGGGCAATGTTTTTCGATAACGTCATGCCAAACAGTTCTAGACTGAAGACAACTTTGCATTTGCAACCTTTTTTGTAGTGAGAATTTGTTTGAACGAAGCATTGAGAAGAAGAGCCCCCCATTGGAGAAGAAGCAACAGATGGGTTTGAGTAAACGGCGGGAATGAAAAAATAGGTGAAGGGAAAAAATGAAAAAGGGTTAAAGGGGTCTTAAAACTGTAAATTTGCGGTACAAACGCCACTAAAGTACGAGTCTTTTGCGGTGTTTGTATAAAAACGCCACTAGCGTACGAGTCTTTTGCGGCGTTTTTATAAAAACGCCACTAAAGTACAAGTCTATAGCGACGTTTGTAAACAAAAACGCCACTAAAGTACAAGTCTATAGCGACGTTTGTAAACAAAAATGCCACTAAAGTACGAGTCTATAGCGACGTTTTTAAACAAAAACGCCACTAAAGTATGAGTTATAGCAGCGTTTTTATAAAAACGCCAGTAAAGTATGAGTTATAGCAGCGCTTTTATAAAAACGCCACTAAAGTACGAGTCTTTAGCGGCGTTTGTATAAAAATGCCCCTAAAGAACGATTCTATACCGGCGTTTGTGTAAAAACGCCACTACAATACTAATCTTTAGCAGCGTTTTTATACAAACGCCACTAAAGTAAGATCTTTTGCGGCATTTGTATACAAACGCCTCTAAAGTTAGGTTTTTTGCGGCATTTGTTCAAAAAACGCCGCTAAAAATACCGCTATAAACCCATTTTGCTGTAGTGTTAATTAGAAATATAGTTTTTCTTATTTGACATAAATTAAGACATTACTTTTTTTTTGTAAGATTAATCTATGAAATGCCTTTTATCTTCTAGTAAAAAATAAATTGTTTTTAATAAAATAAATTGAATTATATTTAGTTTGGGGAAATCTTAATATCTGGAGTTCAATCCTTTAAGGCATGCGAGTAAAGGAATATCTCCGTTAATTTGAACTTAATTAATATAAATAATTTGTGTGTAAATGTCCTATTTAAATTTGTATACTTTCGACATAACAAGATCACAATCTACGTTAATTTTTGAGGTAAAAGAACATCTTAAGGGCATTTATTTTTACAAGGAAATTTACTCTTTTCAAATTCATTCATCTAAATAAAAGGATCGTTATTTAAATTATGAATTCAAATAAGTAAAATTCAATTATTTTGGGCAACATATAATTGAAAGATACTAATTTTGGGTATTGTAGGATACTTACCTTTCTCTATGCATAACTGGCTTTCGAATCAATAAAAATGAATTTATGAGAACATGCAAATTAATTTACGTCTTTTAAATGATTTTTTCTAAAATTTGTTAAAGTGACTTTTTTTTTAATATTTAATCTACCTAAACTCAAAGTTCACTGAGGACTCCAAAATCATTTCAAAAATAAAAATTGATTTTTTTCCAAAATAAGTCGAGAAGCGTTCCCAAGTCTTAATGACGTGTTCCGACACTACACATGCATTAATTATTTTAAAAAACTAAGTGTTATATATTTAACAAGTTCGTGTTATAAGGTTTTGTAGGATGAATTAATCATCTTTTAAAAATTTTAAATTATCATATATTTATACTTCCTATTAGTATTTTTTTGTTCATCCTAAAATTTTATAAGTTCATTCTCCCTAAAACTCTAAAAGTTCACCGTTAACATAAAATTTTACATTGGTCATCGATCCTATTTCTTGTGTTGTAAAAAAGTTCTTGTAATATTTAAAAGTTATTATTCTTATAATGAAAATATTATAACGTGTTATATATATTATATTATATATAAGTTTATATTATAGAAAGATTATGTTAAACTATTGTTTTTATTATAAAAATTCCTTAAATTATGAGGATGACGACAAAATAATAATAATAATAATAATAATAATAATAATAATAATAATAAAAGAGTATGATTATGTGTCTAACCATTTCAATTTTCACACCTTTCTAAGAATTAAAGAGTGCAATTTGAGTCTCTTATTACACTCGCTACATCAAACTCATAAAATATAATATATTATTGTGAAATTTGAGTCCTAATCGAACCGGGTTACATTCTTCTTGTTCATAATTTTTATTAATTAATATTTAATATATTTATAGCATATAATTTTGTATAACATTAATAAATTAAATAATAATAATACGTTATAGTAAAATTCTAAAATTATATTTATTTAGTTTGTATTTATTATAATCATATATTATTGATTTCTCATTTTATGAGAGAAAGGCAAGTACAAAACCGGAACTTTTGGTTAATATCAATTCACTATTTCACCCATAGTAGTGTGATAGATTGACCTCTTTGTATTTTCAATCCTGAACATAGGAAAAAAAGCATATAAATCATTTGAAGACTTGATCCAAAAACTAAAAATCATTGAAATTATCCCTACATATTACTAATGTTTTGATTAATTATTTGTCTCAGTACACAATTTGAATTAATCAATTAATATATTAGTACATAATTTAAATTAATCGATTTATATATTAGATATGAATGATTAATTTAAAAATATATATATGAACTTTGGCATTAAATAAATGTTTTGTGAACATCCCATCCTTCCCCATCTATTCCTCTACTTTTCTTCTTTATGGAAACCAGTCCTCAACGCAGAAACAAAACTAACAATGATTCCTTCGATGAAAATGGAATCCTTCTGCCAGGTCTCCCTGAAGATCTAGCTCAACGTTGCCTGTCTTATCTTTCTCCTTCCCTTGTTTTCTCCGTTTGCCGTCCATGGCGTCGCTTCCTTTACTCTCCATCATTCCCTCCTTTCTTCTCCCTCTATGCTCTTCTTTCTCCTCTTCAAAATCCCACTCTCACACATCCCGGAGAAATTGTTCCTCAAAATACAATTGAATTCAACTCCTTCGATCCAATCTCATCATCTTGGACACACCTTCCTTTCCCTCCACAACACCCTTCTCTTCATCTCCTCCACAGCCACCCTTCTTTTCTCTCCCGGAACCTTCCGGTACAATCCCTGACAGTTTCCAACCATTTAGTCCTCATAGCCGGAACGAACCACAAGCTTTTGCCTGCACTTTTCAGCCCTTTAGTCTTCAACCCGGAGTCCGGCAGCTGGTTTTACGGACCCCAAATCTCCACCCCGCGGCGGTGGTGCGCTACAGGCTCAGTCCGAGGTGTGGTCTACGTGGCAAGCGGCATTGGCTCCCTTTACAAAGGAGATGTGGCGAGGTCATTGGAACAGTGGGACCTAAGCAAGAAGAGAGATAATTGGAGATGGCAAAACAAGGCACGGCTTAAAGATGGAAGGTTTAGCAGAGAAGCAGTGGAAGCTGTTGGGTATAGAGGGAAGCTTTGCATGGTTAACGTCAAAGGCAATGCGGTGAAAGAAGGTGCTGTTTACGATGTGGATTGGATAAGTGGGAAGAGATGCCTCGAGGCATGATTTCCGGTTGGAATGGGCCGGCCGCCGCCATGGATGAAGATGTGATTTATGTGGTTGATGAAGTAAAAGGTAGCTTAAGCAAGTACGATGATGAAGGAGATTGTTGGGTAAAAGTAGTTGAGTTGGAACAGCTTAAACGTGCCGAGCAGATAACAGCGGCGAGGGGGAAAATTTGTGTAGTTTCGGCGAATGGGGAAAGGATTCTAGTGGTGGATGTTGGGGATAGGCCGGCCAGGTTTTGGGAGGTGGCACCACCACGTGGGTTGGAAGTGGTGGCGGTGCATGTTTTGCCTAGGATGTGTAGTAGACAACGCTAGATAGTATTTCGAATCAAGTCCCATACGAAACCTAGTTGCGAGCTTGCTTGATTGTTTGCTGCTTGTATTTTCATGTTCCAAAAAACAAAAGAATAGTAGTATAGTTTACCATCAAAATCAAATTTAATGGAAGCTTTGGTATAATTTGTAATATGAAAACTGAGACTACGTAGTAAATATTTGATGTTCTTCCTCTCAAATTGAATTGTAGGTATGGTCTAAAGTGATTTTAAAAAAATAATGTCTTATTTGATCGTTAAATTGTAATTGGGAAAAATTAAATTAATGTGAACTTGAAAATTTATATGATTAATAAAAATTATAAATCTAAACTATAAAGTTGAAAAGTGGATCCCAATCCTAGTGTTCCCCCGATAGTCGACTATGTCTACCTAGAAAGATTCATAGCTACTAGATCTATAGAAGTAAATTTGTTGTTTTTATTTAACCATCAGCATATGTTCTATTAATTAATTTTTTAAAATTAGATTTTGGAGAGACCTATTATATGATTTACTTTTTTTTAATTAATATATTCTAATCATAAACATTAAAATTTAAATTTTTAATTTTATTTTAAAAATTTAGTATATCACTATATTAATTGATTATTAATTATGAACCATATTTAAACAAGTATCATGCCAAAGTCACATGAATGTTTATATGACTAAGTTGATATGATATGATATGAACCGTAATACAAGTATCATCTTTCAAAAAAAAAATTGATATGATTATGTATTTGTATGTATACATGATATTCAAATTATGGTTGGTTTCTCGACACCGACACACCTATTTGAATAAACTAGATTAATTGACAAGACAAGGCTAGTTAAGGACTTACATACAGTGTTTTGAAAATCGGATCGGATCGGTCGGTTCAACCGAGAACCGCTGTCTAGTCCGGTTTAATCTACACCGGTTGAACCGCTACTAGTGAACCGGCCAGAACCGTTGAACCGTTCGAACTGGACCAGTTGAAAATCAGAAAAAACCGCCAATTTTTTTTTTTAAATTAAACCAAAAGACGTCGTTTGTTAAATGAGCCAAGTCGAACTCGAGTATTGCTATGCTCGACTCGAACTTGAAAACTTTAAAAGTAAG